TATATGCCGGTAGACATTAACTTTGTTTTGGGTATTATAATGGCAGATACAAGTATTGAGAATTTGGTAATATTGAGGAACGTTAAACTAGGACTCAAAGCTGCTGAAGTTGATGGTATAATTCTGGAATTGGAAGGAAATGAAACAAGATCAGATAATTCTGTCCAAAACCGTTTATAGGTTTTAAAGTTAGTAATTGTATTTTGAAACTAGCAGCCATACTCAGCTGGTCGATCAGAAAAAGCGTTCAATTAGAATGGAGCAAAATAGCATCATGTTTAGATGTAAAAGAGTCTACGTTCTTCAATTACTTTAAAGTAATTTCATTAAAAAAACATTTTGAATTAATGCATTTACTGGTATAACAGAAGTAGTCTGTATTTATTCAATTGAAATTAGCCGAGGACATGTAAGGGTAAAACAGACAAGATCACGACCCACTTCAGACCACAATTATTTTGGAGGTTTTAAATTCAATTTGTCAGTGTACTACCAGGGATGTAAAAAAGGCTACATTTATAAAGCAATTGTTAAGTTTGATGAAAGATCAACGGAAAATAAGAAAGAAACCAGTAAAAATCAACCTTTTTCACTATTTACGTGAGTTTTCACTATATGTGTGGACTATCAAGTTAAATGAATGTTAAACAATCAACTTATTGTTGGCTACAATTGAGTGAAGTTTGTATTAGATTGCTTTAAAACAGGAAGTTTTAGTTTAAAATTTGCGTTGAAATCGATTTATGTTGAAATCGATTTGTGTTGAAATCGATTTTTCGTTTTTCGCTAAACGCAGTGGCGTAGAAATAAAAAAAAAAATGAGGTATCGTTGAGTTCGTCATGATATAAGTAACCTACATAACGAGTTTGAACGATATCGGAGGAAAAAAGTTGAATTCATCGATTTTTGATCGGCTTTATCGAATATTGATTTTTTTTTAAATTATCGATTTTTATGCTAAGAACCTATCTCTTACATTGTACAATGTATGTGCCAAGTTTGGTCAAAATCGATGGGATGGATCTCAAGTGAAAAAGGTATCAAACAGACAGACAGACATACAGACATCCTCTGTTTTAGATAGATAGATAGATAGATAGATAGATAGATAGATAATATTAGTGGTAAATATACACATACATATGCAAAATATATACATAGGTGCATACACATACATGTATATTTTTTTAATAAAAATTCCAAGAGGATAGAATCCAGGTAGAACTCAAATGTCCAGGACAGAGTAAGGATATAATAAAAAGGCTTAAACACTAATATTCCATGGTCATAATTTATTACATTGGAATCGTAAATTCCAATGGAATAAATTATGACCATGGAATATTAGTGTTTAAGCTTTTTATTATTATTATTATTATTATTATATATATATATATATATATATATATATATATATTTCATCCCAAGCAAGGCGATAAAGCCACTAAGGCACAAAGGGTACCGAGGATGAAAGATAATATGAAGGAAACTAAGAAAGCGCTAGTGAAGAGAAAAGACAATAAGAATTTGGTTCAAAGAGACAGAAGTTGACGATTGATGATGCATTTAAATTTTTGAAGATTGTAGTTGACAGGTTTCATTATTTGGCAGTTAATATCTTAACGACATAATATATGTATGTGACACGGTATTAGTTGCAGACATAGATACGAAAATACACGAATTCTTACAGAAGGTAGGAAAAATAAGTTAGAAGACAAGACTAACCATTATTTCTATAAAAGACAGAATCTATGGTCGTCAGCAATATAAAAAATGGAGATACCAATCCGGCAACTACATACATTTAATGTCTAGAAAGTGTTTTAACAAAGGACGGGAAATGCGACAGCGAAGTACAAATGCCCACTGGAATAGGAAAAGATGTCTTCAAAGACTAAGCAAAATATTAAGAAACAGGAAATTTTCATTATAAACAAGGAAAAGGGTACTGAACTGTTACGTAATATCAGTCTTCCTATATGGCAATATGAAGATGAAGAAGAGACTTGAAGCAACAGAAATATGGCTCTACCGAAGGATGCTGAGTATACAATGGACTGAACATGTGAGCAACGGCGAAGTTTTAGAGAAAATGGAAACAAAAAGGAGACTTATACATATCAGTTGAAATTTCTAGGGCCCATAATGAGGAAAGAGGGCTTGGAAAAATTGGCACTCACAGGACATATCTTTGGAAAGAGGGAGAGAAAATTAGCGAATAACCTACCTAGTGAGTTTGTGTGCATTTTTGGCAGAACAGAGATTAGGAGATATAGCAAAAAGACAATCTTTACTAAAGGCTACAAAGGACAGGAAGTTGTGGAGAGCCATGATTGCCAACGTCCTGAAGGGACACGGTGCATTGGTTGAGCGGAAAGTTTGAAGCTGGAAGAGAGTTCCATAGGTGCGAAGTACAAGAGACCAAACTTTTAGAATAGCAATTTCAACAGTAAAATGATGAGACCTACCTACCAATTTAGTACTGCGTTTAAATCTCCGAAGCCTAGGGTACCAAAGAGGAAAACTAATCAAAACCATGAGACCTTTACTAAGTGGTGGGAGGAACAGTATTGTGCTACTACTAGTAATAGTAGTAAGAGGAGGATGCCGAAGAAAGGAAAAGGAGGAGGAGGAGGATTTAAATGTGGTATCTATCATTATTATAGTTATTTTTCCATTCGCACCACTCTCTTTTACATCGTCTTCAATACCCCAACAGTATGCGGATAGTCTATGATTTACTTTAAACTATTCCTTCAAGTATAAGTATTTCGGAACAGTTGCAATTTCTAGATCTCTTATATTTTTTACTAATAAAGGGTGTTTCATAAAGGCGGATTGTATCTAATGGTGTTTCATTAAGAAGGATTATATACAAGGGTGTTTCATTAAGGTGGATCAAAGTCAACAGTAAATAAATCAGTGCTCTTGGTGAAAATTTCTTTATTTCTTTATTGGATCATATTATTTAAGTCATGGCAATTATGTGTAAAAAATAATATCGCTCAAATGTCCGCCAAATCTGAAAGAAGAAGAAAAAAATCGTTAGACGGTTAAACTTAATTCACATTTAAAATCGGTCCAAGTTACTGGAACACACTTTAGTTCACACACTGCAAGGCTCAAGAGCCACTCAAGGTAGCGGGTTACTTTAATAAATGAGGTTGTTAAAATGGCATATAAGGAAGGGGAAACGGTGCCTATTATAAGGATATGTAGGATCGATAGTTTAGACTTGAAGAGGTTGATTTTTTCACCCAATACAAGGCCGAGGTGCCACTCAAGGTAGAGGGTTACTGAATGAGATAGGAAAGGAGTGAGAATAAGGAAGTAAGAGCGTGTTATGAAGACGAGTAGGACTGATATCAATTGACCCTGGACTTAAAGAGACCAAAATTGTAGTTGGCAGGGAAGCATTATCTTGGGAGCTTGTTCCACAAAGTAACAGTTCTAGGGAAGAAAGTGCCTGAGTAGAACTTGCCTTTTATCAAAGGAACACGAAGGGAATGGGAATGGTTTGCCACCGTGAACACAGCATAGTGGGTGGGGTCCTAGCTGTGAAGGTCTGATTGGTTGGTTGGTTGGTTGGTTGTTTTTGTTTAGTGGCATATCAACACATCTATGGGTTTTTAATACCGAAATCTAAACATTTTGTATATATTTTTTCTTTTTGGAGGTAATGATGATTTTAGTGATACAAATCTTACTAATTAACCCATAGCTGGGGGGAGAAAAGGTAGATTCATACCTTTCCCAGGGGTATTTGAGCGTAAGTGAATATAGCGAACCCGACTGAAATTGGAACTCTGCATTCCGATTGACAATTCCAAATCATTATCTATTACACCACCCGCACATCCAAGTTTACAGCACCTAATATTCCCAAGCTGTCACCCATATCGGTACTGACCGAGATCAACGTTGCTTCACTTCAATGTGAAGTTCTGAACTGGTGGAACTAAGGAATGCAACTCGTCCGAAAGTCTGGTATGGTAATAGCAATAGAGTGAAAAAAACTGTTAATGTTTTGAATGTGGGATTTAAGAACGAGGTCTTAGTATATATATATATATGTGTGTGTGTGTGTGTGTGTGTGTGTGTGTGTGTGTGTGTGTGTATGTCCAAGTATAGGATTGGTGTAGACGGAATAAATTCCAATAACCAAAAAATACAATTCTTAAAAGAGTGCTCAATAGAGAGTAGAGCAAATATTATTTATTCGAAAATTATGACATGAACATGTTATAAAATCACTATAAAAACTGCCATTTTGTTTCAACACTTCTGGTATCTTATCAAGTGTTGCTGCTGAATTCAACAGCAACACTTGATAACATACCAGAAGTGTTGAAACAAAATGGCTATTTTTATAGTGAATTTAGAGAAGATTAAATTAGATTTTAGATTCTTGAGAAGACACAAGAAGTGTTGAAACAAAATGGCTGTTTTTGTAGTGATTATAGAGAAGAGTAAATTAGATTTTAGATTCTTAAGAAGACACGAGAAGTATTGAAACAAAATGACTGTTTTTAGTGATGTTATAACATGTTTATGTTATAATGTTTGAATAAATAACAAATTATATATATATATATATATATATATATATATATATATATATATATATCTGCTCATTCTAACACCATGGTCAGCTAGTACATCTCGATCCGCTACTACTACTACTACTACTGTTGATACCATTATCACTACTCTTCCTTTTGCATTATCAAAGGTATTGTGACTTGCTTTTTTGTTTTTCTTATTATTTCTCGTTCTTGCTACTGTCTGTTGTTAATACCATTATTTCGTACAAGATGATTTTTCATTTGTCTTTGCTTCTTATTATTTTTTTTAGAGGAGTTTTTTTTTTCTTTATTTCTTTCTTTCTCCTTTCTTGTTGGCGCTGCGTTCAGTGAAGCGTTACTTTCACTTCCTGCGTCTGATTCTTTCTATTATTTGGAAGCAGTGTCAGGAGCCGAAATAATCAGAACATTCTCTAGAGAAGCCAAAGTGAAATACTCATTGAAGAGAGAGAGAGAGAGAGAGAGAGAAAAAAGGAAATAGGCAGATGTGCAGAAAAAAGAAAGAAAGAAAGAAAGAAAGAAAGAAAATGTGAAGAAAATAGAAAGAAAGCAAATGTACCGAAGAAAGAAAAAATAAAGATAAGCAGAAAAAGAAAAAAAGAAAGAAGATATGCAGAAGAAATAAAAGATATACAGAAAGAAAAACGGCAGATGTAAGAAAGAAAGAAAGAAAGAAAGAAAGAAAGAAAGAAAGAAAGAAAGAAAGAAAAAAAAAAAGAAAAAAACAACCAAGGAAGAAATAAATAAAGAAGAAAGAAAGAAAGAAGGCAAGCAAGAAAGAAAGAAAGAAAAAAAGCAAGCAAGGAAGAAATAAATAAAGAAGAAAGAAAGAAAGAAAGAAAGAAAGAAAGAAAGAAAGAAAGAAAGAAAGAAAGAAAGAAGGCAAATGAGTCGATGAAAAAAAAAATAAAAAAGTATTGACGAGTTTCCTTCCAAATCTTTTGCCTAAAGTTGTGAGGAAAGTCAATATCTTGAATGCTCAAAGATGACAATTCTTCATCGGGGTCTATGGCTTGGCACTACATAATTACAAACATAATGCTTTAAAAAATAAAAAAAAACACATCAATGAAGTTTTTCAACAACAGACAAGCACAAAGAAAGAAAGACACGCCTTTTAAGAAAGAAAGAAAGAAAAAAAGAAAGAAAGAAAGAAAGAAAGAAAGAAAGAAAAAAAAAAAGGAAAAGAGAAAAAAAGAAGAAAGAAAGAAAGAAAGAAAGCAGATGTGACGCACGTAGGCTCCAAAGAGAATAGAGAGAAAGGGTATGTGTGCCAATAATTGTGAAATAAAATTGGTATATGATGACGTCACTCGTCCAAAGTAAAGAAAAGTAAAGAGAAGCTCTGTAAAGGAAGCCAACATTATTTTATGATGGAGGAAGGGTCTGTGAGGTTGTGAAACAATGAAAATACATGTTCCGCTTTTTGGGTGCATAAAAAAAAATGAAGAGAAAGAAATAAACAGATGTGGTCAGAAAATAAAGAAGGAGACGTAAAAAATATAAAAATAAAAGTATAAAGATAGAGAGAAAGCAGATGGGTAGAGGAAAGAAAGACGAAGGAAAAAGTAACAAGTTTATTTAGTGAAGAAGGAGGCGGGCAAAGAAAGAAAGAAACAAACAAGAAAATATGCTGAAGAAAGAAAGAAAATTAGAATGAAAGATATGCAAAAGAAAGAAAGGCAAAAGAGAAAAAAGAACATATGCAAAAGGAAAGAAAAAAGGAAAAGAATATATGCAGAAGAAAAAAATAAAGAAAGATATACAGAAGGAAGAGAGAAGGAAAAAGAAGAAATGCAGAAGAAAGAAAGAAAGAAAGAAAGAAAGAAAGAAAGAAAGAAAGAAAGAAGAATATATGCAGAAGAAAGAAAGAAAGAAAGAAAGAAAGAAAGAAAGAAAGAAAGAAAGAAAGAAAGAAAGAAAGAAAGAAAAAGATAAATATAATGCGGGAAAAACAGATAAAAATGGACGTGAATAGAAAGAAAGAAAGAAAGAAAGAAAGAAAGAAAGAAAGAAAGAAAGAAAATATGAAAAAGAAAGAAAGACATAAGAGAAAAAAGAACATATGCAGAAGGAAAGAAAGAAAGAAAAAGAATATATGCAAAAGAAAGAAAGATATATAGAAAGAAAGAAAGAAGTAAAAAGAGAAAAAAGATATGCAGAAGAAAGAAAGAAAGAAAGAAAGAAAGAAAGAAAGAAAGAAAGAAAGAAAGAAAGAAGCAGAAATTGAAATATGTAAAAGACAGTTGGGAACTGTATGTGAAAGAAAGAAAGAAAGAAAGAAAGAAAGAAAGAAAGAAAGAAAGAAAGAAAGAAGAGAAAAGAAAGAAAGAGAGAGAGGAAAACTTCGAGAGAGAGAGAGACGTGGAAAAACGATTGAAATAGGGTAACTGAATCGCCAGATTGATGGTTGAAGTAGCGTGAGTGATTGTTTAAGAGGTGCCGGAATGACAAACATTACCTCAGTGGGAGCACTCGGAAGGGGCAGGGACGAACAGACTCCGAAGAGGTTCACTGCCTCTGCAGACCGCTGCATTTTCTTGGCGTTGTTTTATTATGAGTCGTAAAATGGTTGCAAAGCTCAGGTATCCGAAGGACAGAGAGTATAGGGTGGGTAGCAGTAGGAAGAGAGGTGTGTTGGGGAGGGGGACATTGGTAGGGAGGAAGGTGTAGAGGGGTGGAAAGGCTTTGTCCCTCATTGTAACAGTTGTGTACCCGTTGACTTGTTGCCTTTCTTATCAGGGTGGGAAGTGTGCCGAGAAGAAAGAGAAAAAAAAAAAAAAATTCGCAAAAAAAAAAAAAAAAAGAAAGAAAAGAGCAAGAGACAGGCAAAAGAGAGATACTCAACAGAAGGACGAAAATGTCAGAAAATCTGGCTGGGTAAGTCGGAGTTTCAGAGAGATAAAATGATAGCGCTTTTAAAAGAGAGAGAGAGTGTGGGGGGGAGAGAGTGGGAGAGAGAGTGAGAGAGAGATTGTGAAGAGGAAAGAGAATAAGATATGAACAAATGTAAAAAACGGGTAGATATATTTACTGTGATTTCCCCACTGAGACAGGATGTGATACAAGGTCAGGTTTAACGTCGGGAATCCGAGCGCATACACCCTAGCCAAGGATAAAAATTGCCCAGCCCGCGCAACCGCCGGTATGCCTACTGATCCCCACTCTTTAGTGCAATGGAGGAGTGAAGCCTCGGGAAGCTCTTCCCCGGAACCGGTCACCTCGCAACTGCGTATCTATCCGTGGCACAGAGCCATAACTAAGTTTCATACTGCTCGAGACGCAACTGAACGATGATAAAATCCCTTCCCGGTATGTGCCAGGTAAGTATAGCTTACACGTGGCACATGGCCGAAAGTGTGAGGCACCCAGCGAGGATCGAACTAGTAACTGAGTCAACGTGACAAGCTTGTTAACCATTACACCAAGTCGAGGTGCCCGAAAGAAAGGGTAAATATCGTATGGCCATTAAAACCGATGTATTTTATACAATATGTCTGTTTTCATGGCGATAATAAAATTCCATACTCCTTGGAAAATCGTTCAGCATTTACGGACAAGATGACTCTCGGAAAATCTATATTGTATTTTTTTTCTAATTGCTATCACCCCATGTAAGGCAATAAAGCCACTAAAACACAATTAGTTACAAGGCGTGGAAGAATTAGGAACAGAAACATTCATAATGAGCGGGAAGAGGAAAGGATAATCAGGAGGACTGTAGATAGCGATTGACATTGCATTTCAGTTTTTGTCGATTAAAGCTGGCTGGAAAGCATGGAACAAGAAGGAAGTTCCCCAACAAGAAGAAAACTGTTAGCATAGAAATTACGGCTTCAGCTACCGAGCTCAACTGTAAATTGTTGAGATCTTGATGCCAGTCTAGTACTGCGATTAACTTTTTTAAAAAGTCTAGGTATCATAGCGAAGAGTGATATTTATTTGTAATATTTTCAAAATGTGGCACAAAGCCAAAAATGGGGAATGGGGAAAAGCACGGTCTTGTTCATTCTTAACTATAAACTTTGCTAGCCACAAACACTGACCCAAACATACCACAATATTCCTAACACCAATACAACACATTCTTACTTACCTTTCTTACTACATCCACCATGCCATACCATACCATAGCGAAGAGCGATATTTATTCTGATATATACACAGAAATGTGGCACAAGGGCAAAAATAGGGGATTGGGGAAAGGACGGTCGTCTTCTGTCTTAACTTTAAACTTTGCTAGCCAAAACAATGACCCAAAGATACCACACTATTCCTAACACCAATACAACACATTCTTACTTACCTTTCTTACTACATCCACCATAATACCTCATTGTCTCTACGAAAGTCCTAACTAATCCTCATGTGAACAATTACCATGAAAGTATTTATAGAAAACACACAGAGAGACAACCTAGTGGGAAAGTGACTGAAGTTGAGCCGCCAGATCAGGACCAATAATATTGCTGATTCTTCTTTGGATTTTATCAAGGAGCTCAAGGTAAAAAGCAGGGGCAACAAATCATGTGGCAGTAATATTTTAAGTATGAATGAGTTATAGATATGTGAGATAGATTCTGGAGATAGAGTGAAGCAACTTAGATGAGAGAAAAATATGCGTAGACAAATTTTAATGAAACCATTTTTCGCTATACCTTTAAAAATGCCAAAGTTTTGTACAATTCAAAACTACATTTGGTTAAGATTATTTTTCAATGTGTCGGGTCCCTTCAGGACACGGACGATCATGGCTCTCCACGACTTCCTATCCATTGTGGCTCTTAATATTGTTTCTCCGTTTGACAAGCCTCACGTCCCACGTTCTGCCATCCAGTCGTGTAGGTGTCTCGCTGCCTTCCCCTGTCTCTCTTACCTTGAATACGCCCTGTGAGGATTAAGTTTTCCGAGCCCTCTTCTTTATTGTGCGTCTAAGGAATTTCAGTTGTCTCTCCTGGTCCAATGCATAACTGTTCTTTTTGTTGCTATTTTCATTAAGACTTCTTCGTTGTTTACTCGCTGCATCCATGTAATTCTCAATATTCTCCTGTAGGACCACATTTCTGTTGCCTCCGTTTTTCTCTAGTTGGGTTAGATTGTCCAGCATTCACTACAATATAAGAGGATGACCACGACGTGTTTAGCAAGCTTGTCCCGCTAGAACAATTACGACTGAATAGCAAGTTCGTGCCTCACTGAGTGCCCCATGCTTTCGTCTATGTGCCACCTGAACTATATAAGAGGATCGACATCACATATCGATCTAGCGCTCTTTCCTTTGTTTCTAACGAATAGATTTACGATACACAACACCCGAGAGAAATGCCTGTGATCAGGAGATTAGAGCTTTTGAGGTGTGTGGAAACATCTCTTAATTGCAGTGGTTCACACGTCCACTCTGATCCGGAGAGGCAGCACCTCTTAAGGCCACACCAATGAGCAAATAGTGAACTCTCAAGAAAATTAAACACTAGGAAAGTATTCAAATATTTTTAGTGTAAAAATACCAGTAATAAATTTTACTAAAGAAATTACCAACATTATATTTCTATTGTATAATTACCATCAATATACTTCTATAATAAAATTACCAATATTTTTTAATAGCAATATGTCAATCTATACATTTTTATAGTAAAATTAACAGCAATTCATTCTTATAAAGCCACTAAAACACAATTAGTTACAAGGCGTGGAAGAATTAGGAACAGAAACATTCATAATGAGCGGGAAGAGGAAAGGGTAATCAGGAGGACTGTAGATAGCGATTGACATTGCATTTCAGCTTTTATCATGTAAAAACTATATATCTAAAAAAATTGCGTTTACCCAGAAAATATATAATTATGTACAAACTATATGTAGTTGAAGTTATAAGATTGCGTTCAAAATATTTAGATTTTGGCATTAAATAACCCACAGAAGTTGATATGAAGGCTAAACAAAATCAGCTCGTCAAACAAAGATTTAAATTAATTTATTTAATTTTAATAATCTGAATTAAATTTATTCTATTCATTGGCATGCAGATATTGTATTTTGCCAAATTATTATTATTATTTTTTTTTTTTTTTGCTTGACATACTTTGTGTGTATGTGTGTGACCAAGGTGAGCCTTCAAGTCGGAGGACAATGATTATGGATTGACCTGTAGAGGAATGGGCGCTGCCAAGTCTACTTGCCGAAGATACGTCACACATGAATGAATAAATCTTCGAATTTCGTTAGATAGTCGGTCGTCACCTGGGATTGATACATGAAGATCCTTCGTAGAGTCACAGACATTGCCCCGCACCCGAGACACGTGGAGGGAGCTGGTCACCTGAGGAAAGTATGAAGGAGGTACGAAAATTACTAAGTATTAAATCCAGAGGGTGGTGCCAAACCGAATTTGTAAACAGTCACTATTACTGCTGATAATGCAAGACTCTCCTAGCGATTGAGTTCTCTGAGTGACTGGTGTGTTTATGAAAAAATAAATACGCAAAAATTCGCCTTTTTCTCCGCCGGGCGTCGGTGGCCTAGGAGTTAGAATCTTCGAGTGATAGATACCAAATTGGTCGCGTTTCGGTTCCAGCCTGAGCGATCGGATATGTAGCCACACTGATGTATCTGGATGACTATATATATATATATATATATATATATATATATATATATATATATATATATATATATATATAAAAGATTCGCATGAGCATACATGATGAAAAATACCCCAAACCTTTAAGTTTTATCGTCAAAAACTTTATGTTATTATTACGAGGAAAGACCAAAGGATTTTTTTTACTATTAAATCATATTTTTTATTCTTTTTAGAACCTTTGAAATATTAGTTAAAAATGTTGTTGCCATAAATTAGTCTGGGAAATTTTAGCGTCCTTTTACGTTACAAAACACACTGATTTGGAAATTCTTGCAAAAATCAGATACCGTAATTACCCATGTGTTAATACGCATTTTTTCTAAAAATAATAAGCAAAATTAGAGGCGCGTATTATGCAGAGCTACAAAAAAATCTTTAAAAAATTGCCGTTTCAGAGGTCGATTTCTGTTGCGAAATGATTACTCACCACAAACATACGATAATTTGACACTATAATTCGGCGATTGCGACCCCATAAGGATGTCAAATACAATCATATGTACCTAACAATACTTACAAATATAAAATAAAATAAAAATTATCATAAAATTAAATTAGAATAATATTATTCTATGTTTAAAACCATTTTAAAATAAAAGTAGGAAACGCTGACCGTAATGAAATTGGAGAGCTACAATTCATAAGGTTTGATTATCAAACAAGGGAAGCGTATTATGCATGAGTTGAAGCATTTTACTACCCTTTCAGCACAATTTTAAGGGTGCGTATTATAGATGAAGGCATATTATACATGGGAATTACGGTAGTTGTCGGATTTTAATGAAACTTAAAGGAATTATTCACAAATGAATGAACTTACTTTTAAATGTTACTTTTTACTCACAAATGAATTTAATTATTTTTAAATGTTATTTTAATTGTTTTCTTTT